ATGGAATAGGTGCACTAGGAGGGGGGAGTCAGACTGTGGCAGCAGAGATCGCACAGGTCATCGGTCTGAGATGTGATGCACACCAGAGTCTGTCGAATGAAAATAAAATTGCTCAATCCAAGAGTTGCGGTGTCTCGTGGAACACGCGCTGGAAGAGTATAAAAATAAATAAATAAAGAAATAAAATACCCCCCGACCCCCACAATCTAGCCATAATGCAACTGTCGGAAATAGTAATCAATAATGTGGATTTCCAGTCCCATAGGTGGCAGTAAAGAGAATTACTATGAAGGGTGAAATCCAAATTGTCTTCACTTAAAAAAACAAAACAAAAAAACGTTGAGATATCGCAAGCATCGTTTAGTTACCAATCCCCCTGTTAAAATAAATGGAATAATTTCTCAACCAACAGTTTTTACGGATTCCAAAATCAGTTCTTGGTCAATTTGTCGTCCTGTATATGTAATGCAAGGCAATCCTACATCCAGTCATAACTCCAAAGAAATGACGATGTAGGCCCGTGACAAAAAAAAGTTGGACACCCGCGGCCTCCAGTCGATACCGCCGAACTACTGGGGACTGTTGCGGCGATGACAAAAGGCACATTGCAACACTTTGGGCAAAAGTGAAGCACTGGAAGACAACTGAACTTTGGCAGGGGCTCCGAGTTCCTTCCCTCCACCATTTTGAGTTTGCGCTGCTCTTCTATTTCACGAGCCTCCTCCGCCTTCGTCGCCGTTTCAAGACCTGACACGTTGCGACGGGTAAACGCGGCTCCCCCCATTCCCGACATTCTTCCCAACAAGGCTCACATATTCAGTCCTACTCGGCTCAGAGATCTGGACCCCCGGAAATCACCCTAACGTTCAAACAGTTCGCTCTTGGTAATGGCGATTCCGTTGTTGGCCAAATCGGTGGTGTCCAAACCACGGCCCGGGGGCCATTTATGGCACGCCATCCATTTTTCAGCAGCCCACGACATGACCCCCCCCCCCGCTCCCCCACTACTACTACTACTAATAAAAACAAGTGAAGGTGGGTCAACATGGAAATGGTGGGGCCCTTGCTTGTAATGATAGCTTCTGTGTCTTCCAGAGGGCAGCAAGGGGGGGCGACTGGTTAGCACGTCGGCCTCACAGTGCTGAGGTGCGCATGGCCGGTTAACTCAAAATTGTGAGGAGGTGCCAATGCGAGCGCAAATGGTTGTTCAGCTTATGTGTGCACTGCGATTGGCTGGCAACCGGTTCAGGGTGTGTACCCCGCCCACTGCCTGATGACGGCCGGGAGAGGCTCTGGCATGCCCCACGACCCTCGTGAGAGGAAGTGCATTGGAAAATGGATGGATGGATGGATGTGTCTTTCAGAAAGAGATATTATGTGCGTTCTTTTGAATTTTGGGGGTGGGCAGCATCAATTCGAAGAGTTGTAAGCAAGCGAAAGCTTAATTTCTGCCTTTTGTAAGTTCAAGTGCTCGACTCAACAGAGACCCGGTACACAGTGAGCAGAACGACATTAGCGAATGGTCCACTGCTTTTTTTTTTTTTTTTGAGTGTGCGTGTGTGTGTTACATCAATGATTCGTCTGTCAAACGTCTCCAATTGTCAAAAAGGCAACGTTTCAATATTTTCAGAAATCTGGACCAAGCGGTTGAACTTTTGCA